TTTTATTAAACATATAAAACATACATTAATTAATTACAGTACCGTTGCTAAAAAAATTTAATTAAATTTACAGTAATTAAAAAATTATGAAACATTTATTTCTGTATGTATAACGGTGAATTTTCATGTAAATATACAAGTTATTAAAAAATTGAATTACCGTATGCAAACATAAAATGAATTTATCCCTTATGGCATAATAAATGTAAAAAAAAACGCATCTTTTCTTGATTTATAAATACGCGTGTTAAATATTGAAAAGCGTGGGGTTTATGCATTAATCACTCGACAATTATAATCCATATATTCGAAATTTAAACGAAATATTTTAAAAGATAACATTTATCACGTAAAAAGAATTAATAATCTACTTTACGAATAATAACAATAATTTTATTACTTTATAATTTTATATAATTACTAACTATACATATATAATTATTATTCTTGTATCAAAAATCTTAATTTTAACATTATTCTAAATTATTTATCGCAAATACCTTCTTCATTTTTATATTTCCATTCCTTTCTCTTTCTCTTTCTTTCTTTCTTTTTTTCTCTAAAAATCTCTCATGCAATTTTTCTCATCTGCGAGTTTTATCATGTCATAAAAGGTATACATTTCCACGAAAGGTATACTGAAAATTGCTAGATATTCGCGTCTGATGCGCCAGCGAGATTATACACCTCAGTTCCGAGATCCAATACATCATGCATGGGACTTCCATTTCTATCACTAGAGTGTCGCATCGACAAATATTTTATTCCGCTGGGACACGCGCATGTATACAAAGTATACAAGAAAGCTGTCATAACTGAATTTCCATTCTATTTGTAATAACTTTTGTTTGATTTTACTTGTGTCTTTTCATCTTTTTGTTTTATACGATGCATAGCATTCGCTTTTAGAGAAATTGGAGACGCATACTTTTGGACATTAATATCTTTGAATCACTCTTGCTATTGATATTCCATTGTAAACATTTTTCTGAACAAGTCTGACTATCTATGTACATCTTAATTAATTATAAATATATTTAATAAAAATATATTTCAAACATATTTCTATTAAATAATAGAAAAGTTGTAAATTGAATTTTATTCGTGTATGCAAAAAATAAAACTTAATCTTATTTTCTTTACTTAACTTTACTTAACTTTAATTATTTTCGATTAAAATTTTCTTCCATGGCATAGGATTTAATGGGGCATTTAAACTATAGACATAGTATATAGACATAATAAAACTTTCGTTTCGGGCAAATCACTTAATATACATATGCGCTACATAAAAATTGTCAAGGTATCAGATGTTTTTCGATACTGAGACGTCCTACATAAATAGTAGGATTTTATCATAATAGAGTTTTGATATTTTTCAAGAAAAGGACTTATGTAGATTCTTCGATGTATCCTACGTGGATTGCATTGAAGCTGACATGTAAAAAAACATTTCACCCGAGCGTATCGGGTAAGGACACGGCTCACGGCTCACGGTGAATAATTCCATTCGCAGGTCCAGCTTGACTCGCGCAGAAGTGGGCCGGTCAGCCCCGAGGCTGTAGGCCAGTTCGTATTAAGTACTCGAGGACCAGGCGGAAGGAAATTCGTAAGAAAGAGACGGGCCGAAGGAGCGAGAGAGAAGGAAGTGGAATTTGCTAGAAAGAAGAAAAGAAAGCCGAAAAATTAATTGGCTCCAAACACCTTACGGTTAAAAACGAAAAAAAAAGACATCGTTCTAAAGATCGATCAACGTGTGCGGAGATAATTGCGTGACGATAATGAGACCGGTTTAGAGGTATCGCGTCGATACCGAGCGGAAATCATGATTCAACAATGAAGAAACAAGGTTGAGAGATTCAACGAACGCAAAAGCGTCTGCGAATCAAGAGTGAAATGTTCCTGCCGGCTGTTTCTGAACGCGGAATTGCGAAGAGAGGTCCGTGTGGAGGAGAATAACGGTTAGAAAATTAGACGCCGGTCTGCCTCGAGGCAACTTACATTTTCTACCAGGGACTAGACGTGCAGAAAATCGTGAGAGAGAGAGAGAGAGAGAGAAAGAGAGAGAAAGGAAGAGACTCTAACCTCGTCAAGAACAAAGTGAAGTCAAAGCTAAGAAAAACGTGGGGTCGAGCGAGAGTAATCAGCACGCGCCATTCTAATGGATATGATTATAAAAAGAGTCAATTTTTAAATATTATTCCACCATTATGAAAATGTCTCATTTATATGCCTGTTGCAAAATATGGAAAGAAAAAATTGTTTTTATAAAATAATTTAAATGTTGTATTTCTATGTGTCCAAGAGAAATTTTACTTATAGTAATTTCAGAGATCAATTTCAAGAACGAGAAAGCTAAATTAATTAAACGCTTGCTAATCAATTTAACGTGTAGGGCATGAGAGTAGAACGCGCGCAATCAAGGAATAACATTGACGTAGAAACGAAGATGTTGATTCAAACAAGAATAGTATTACAGGAGAAATTATGCTCGTTTACTTAGGAGAAATTGACCACGCAGCATGCAATCGAAGAACCTGTTCTCACAGTGTGTGTGCAAACAAACAAATAATCTTAGAAATCACTCTCTCAATAAATAAATCTGAAAAAGAAAGATATGTGGTTGAAATTCTAACCAGAACCATTAATTCAATTAATTGACGTCACTCATACACGTGAAAGACTTTTGTAGGTAGTAATTTTAAAGATAATTTCTATTTGAAGAAACGCTCATCGTAGAGTATTCGAAATCGATTTGACTGACGAAGGTCTAAAGGCAGCTAAGGCATACGCAAGTAAATTGACAAAAAGAGACATCATTTCGATAGATTCGCCTTCGAATACATCGTGAAAAGTATCAATTTGCGAGAAAATACGCGGAAGGTGGGACGCCGAGCCAAGGTTCGCGAAAACGCGTGGCTGATAGGTCAAAGATCGCATCGAGGACAGAGAGAAAGGACCGTGAAAGTTACGAAGCGGAGGTAGAAGAAAAGCCGACTTGAAAAGTGGATGGTGCGTCCCGGAGACGGAGGGACCGTCGTAAAGGTGATTCTCAAGTAGCATTTTAACCCCCGGTCCCACGAAAGGAATAAATAAATAAAGAGTTCGGCGCCTACGTCGAAGGGAGATAAAAGCGTTAGGAAAGTAAGGCGGCGAAGTGGGCGCGAAGATGAGCAGGCAAAGTGTACCACCCCCAGGCATCAATTCCTGCGAGAGGATCAGGCCGGAGCGACCCAGAAATACGATACAGAGGCTGGTATGGGGTCCCGGAACGCAGTTCCAGGTCGGTCATATCGGCATCCCGGAGGATGAGGGCTCGAATCCGCGGATGGCATTAAGAAGGTACGTGGACCATATCTTGCGGAAGTTATTAAATTGCTCAAATCTATTGAATCTTGGTGTTTCGAAGCAGCGATCCTCAAACCCTGCAAAAATCGTGTATGTTATTACCTGAAAAAGTGATAGTAGGTATTCGCGTAATCTTGTAAAAACTAGAAAGTAAAATTCGGTAGAAAGAAATTTATAGGAAATGAGCATATAAGTGCTATTAAAGCTTCAAAATTTTGTTTGTATAAAAATGGCATCACAATAAGAGGACGGGTTTGAGAATTGCTGTGTTAAAGACTTGTCGCGTTTCTGACTCAGTTTTAATTACACGTTTCCTGAATAAGAATATGTCTTTCAAAGATCTTTATGCGATACGCATATATTTTTTATACGTTCACAGTGTCGTTACGTTCTAGATGTGTCATCTTGTATAATGAACATACTGAACCCGCTAATTAAGAATAAATAACGCGCGCTGCGATTACAGTGCTACGGAGTACAGTGCTTTTATACATCATATTTACGAGAAGAATCGTAATAAAGGATTCCATGAGGCAATAATACGGTTTATAATTACATTTTGATTAACGTCGACGTGAGATCGTGACGCCCCGCTGTCTGCATGTAACTAGCATCGAATTGCATTGTGCCCTCTCTCCCCGAACCAAGAATCAGAGATAATTACCATCATATCCGTCAGACAGAGAGTCGCGACGTGTAATAGGTTTATTTAATCCCGCTATACGCGTCACGCGCTAATGGAGTATCGAGAGAGGAATCAGCGTGACAATTAATTACGTAAAGACGATCGATCACAAATATAGCACGCACATGAAAACCATAGTGCAAAAAGCAACGATGAAAATTACTCGAATAATAACAGAAATAGAGATGTAAGCGGCACGATAAATCTGCTTAACGCCGTTTCCTAATAGCAGTAATTCACGCGGTAATAAATCGCCAGCGGAACTATTTGTCTACGAGGTAAGATAAATTAAACGCGATGCAATTTCTTAATAACGGTAATTCACCATTACCGATTGATCGCTGTGCTTGTGCGAGACTTAGCGAGCTAGATAATTAGTGCCGACAGTATAGCCTTACGTTTCATTAATCCATAATCACGTGTGTATCGCACAATAAAATATTTATTACAATATTTATTAATCGTGATTAGGTGAAACTTTATCTACTTTCATCTAATAAAATTTATAAGTTTGCTTCATGCGCATTCAATCGGCTGGATCAAAGCGTTTTACAGTAATCTGCCTTTTTATAGTTTTTAAATGCGCATTAATATTTACAAATAACGGTCGCTGTAATTTCAATTTAATACGTGAAGTATCGTGACTTATATTTTTATTTCCTGATTTTACTCGGATTTTAATTCAATTGTATAATCGGATTATAGAACAGAATATAAAATTATATATTCTCGCCTTTCAGTTGCATCCCATTACAGTTCACAAAATAAAATATCAGATATACATAATAGGACATTAATCGCACGTGAGATTTATATATATTTCTGATTAAAGTTGAATTATATAGTCATTACAAATAATTATAAATTCAAACTATAATCGATCATCCGATATTTCCACAAATCTCTTTTAGCAGCACCATCCATGTTACACAATTATAAATATGTAGCTTTATTGTGTTTCCAAAGCAAACCATTTTATAAGACATTTGACGACAATAATTTTTTATATTTTCATCACATTTGATGGGATTGTGTATTTGCCTGATTCCGTATATTGCTTATCTGACAGGAAAATCATGTCTAACATAAACAGCATAACACAATAATCAAAAGTTCAAGTGTATAAAAACCTCTCGCTGCTATAAATATCGTACAATATATTTTATGCCAATTATCGTGTCTTCGTTGTCATGAATAAACATTACTTTCGTATATCTAGCTAGCAAATAAATGAGATTAATTAGTTCACGTTATCTTACAGTTAACGCTTGATTCATTTTACTTTCCTGACACTGTTCTAAAATGTTACCGAAATTCTACCGACACGCTACCACAAACAGGATAACACGACAACTACATCCTTTCTTTCAGACTGCTAAGATTGTATGAGGGCAGACAGTATAGGGAAGCAGCCGGGTTCCTAATGAAGCTGCCGCATTACACCTTAAAGACTGCATTGCCGGATATTCCGGTGGACCTGTTGATCGAAACTCTACCGCACAGCCTCACCTTGCTGGAGGCGCTCTATTCCCGATTGGTGGAACTAAACGTCAGCGACACGAAGATCCTGCGGATCGAGCAGGTCCTCTGGAGGATAGTGCACCTGATATCGACCAGTCAAGATCACTTCCGACCGCGAATCTGGTGTAAACTTCTCGTGTCATTGAACAGATTATCGCCCAACACGAAGAACGCGCTGTTATCGAGGAAACGTGCCCTAGAGAGAGCTGTAGAAGGACTCGGCAAGCACGGACTGGTGCCTTCCTCGCAGACAAATATCTCCGAGAATTCCGTTACACCGAATTTAGTACCATTGCCGATGGCACTGAAAGAGGAACTCGAGACACGAATGGAAGCGTACAAATTGGCGTTGCACAAGATCGAGAATTTCGGCAAACACGCTGGGACCAATAAAGGTACATCATTTCAATTGTCGTTAATAAAGCTCGCGTTAATGTCATCAAACATTATCGCTCAAACATTATCGCGCTGTGAATCGATAATAATAATGTTTCTATAAACTCGTATTTTTACATTTATAGATGTTCAGACCATTGTCCAAAAGCTTCAAATTAAAGTCACAATATTACTCAATTTTCGTGACGGTATGAATAATCTAACAGTCATAATCATAAATCATATCCAGTTTTATGCGACAACCGGCACATTAATCAATAGCGATAAAGATAGATGGTAACCATGTATTCTTCAATTATATGTTTAATTATTCGAAAAATGAGTATTAATTATCGCTGGCAAGCAATTAGCAAAGCAATATTTTGCGATTATATGCTGTTTTTTTTTTTCGCAAATTTGCTTAAATTTCCATAATAAGATTTGGCATTACAACCATCACGGCGATACATTGAAGCACATGATTATCATCGGCTGATGCGCAATGAGATTAGCGTGCATCGCTAACTCCATCGGAATAAAGTTGTGCGGTCGTTTCGTCGCGCTGCCTGTATATTTGGAGCTCCGCGGAACCGTGAAGCATTGGATTTTAACGGAGCCACGAACGCCATATTACGTTTACAAATGCAAATGGACTAATGTCGGGCGCGTGTTAAGCCATTTACATTTACATAGGGGACTGCACACTTCTCTCGTTCGTGGATAGCTTCCCACGACGCGCAATCTGAGACGCGTCATCACTGGGACGTTTCCGTAGAGAAAGGTGCTAAAGACGAAAGAAGTGTGCATGCGTAGAAAGATAAGCGACACCGCATAAATATTGATAAATGTCTAGAGAAATGTTACTTTCACGGTATCATCCCGTGAAAATAAGTCCAAGATATCAGCAACTATTCTTTTTTAATAGTCAACTTTTATATCCTTTTAAATCCTAGTTTTAAACATATATTTTTGCAACCGATTGATTCCTTTCTTTAACCATTATAGCTTTTAATTGCTTTGATAAAACTATTTTAATTATATTAAAGCTGTTTTTAATCAATTTCATGTTATTAGTAATCTCTAATCTCTGCATCATGTAAATTTAATTTATAATTTAATTTAGCAACAATTTAATTATATGTTAAATGTTAAATAAAATTAATGTCTTTTACTAGGAGATAGAAATTATTTCACGGCTTTATCGATTAAATAAAGAAAGGTATATTCGCATATTATGATATAATGGGCATAGACTGTCGTCCGAACTATAACTTATTGGAGCGTGAACCTGTCGCAATTTGTACCTCGTGCGCGAGAGTGCGGATATGCCGCATAATTTAATTTTGTCTCATTATATAAAGGAAAGTATGGCATATTTAGTTATGATGTCAGATACTCCGTGATTTCGCTGTTCATGCCGGATATCGGGCCGGCTATCTACGTAGCCCGAGGCACTGTAAAAAGACGACGGTGGATGCAGTAATAATCGCCTCGCGCCATCATCGGTTCCGCTCTAATAATAAAAAATAATAATAACGACCGACGAGAAAAAGAGAGAGAGAGAGAGACAGCTAGAGATAGAGAGAGAAGCTCTGATCTTTTCTTACGCTTTTGTAGCGGATCAAGGTGTACAGGCGGCTTCGCATCAGCGGCAGCTTTCCCTGAAGTACAGCGAGATCCAGCAGCGGCTGATCGATAATCAAAGCCTGTTGAACACCTTGGAGAAAGCGGGCGGGCCGTGTAGCCTGGAGAATCTACTAGCGGAGCTGAAGCACCGGGTCGAGCAAGATAAGGAGGCGCTCCGGCAATGGACGGCCTTGAGGAAATCGACGTCCGGATCGACGAATGCGAAGAATCCGGCTCTCGCCGCCAGACTGTTGCAGTTTTCGCGGGGCTGCGCGCTCGCCCTACAGCTCATGAGCGAAGATAATCCGCAGGTAGGGATTATAAAAACGTTTCCATCCGAACATTCCCAAAATGTAATCCTCGGAAACGCGCAAGAGAACATTCCTATCTTCCTTCCGCATTTTGTGAAAAAGATCAAATAAAGTTGCGCTCAATTTTAGAGATTAACTTGGATAATAAAATGATATTTGTAGAACAAATTCGACTTCAGATAGATGAAGAAATAACGCTTCAAGCTTGCTATCCCAATAATACTCGCGTAAGAGAGCTGTCTTCACCTATTATATCTATACCCATGAAACAATTCGCGGCGACCGTCTCAAGCGTAAAAAAAAGCGTGAAAGAGTTTAACACAGAAACGGCGGACTACTAGAACAATGGGTGCGTCGTATACGATCGCGGCGATTCATTTTTCGAGCTCCGTGAGAAGCCCGCATGGTCGGTCGTAACAATAAGAATGGCAAAGAATCTGCGCCGTCAGGCGCGAGAAAATGACCCCGAAACATACGACAACAACACGTGCAACTGCTACGATTCCCGCGAGATTGCGGCTTGCGACTTGCGACTCCGGCAGCTGACGCGTCCAAGACGAAGCCACGGACGATGTCAAAGGCGCCATATGTAACCACTGTGGAATCCCATAAGAGCCCCTACGGCGGACCTAAATTACACGAGTTTATTCCTGTACCTGCTTACATTCGATTCCTCCCGACTAAGCTGACAGTGGCATATGGCACCGTAAACGCGCAAGCAACTCAATATCAATCGTCGAAATAAATTGCACGCGAATTAACAAATAAACGAGGCGGGATTGTCAACCTGGATAGGGTACAAATTAAAACGAATATGACAACGTACGTGAGATCTGTGTTTAAACACACCGAGTTTAAACTCGAGCGAGCAGAAACTGTGCATAAATTATTTCCATTAATGGATATAGCACATATATAAGCACATATAGCGCATATTTGATACGCGAACGTCATCGCTTCGAAACTTGAGTCGGAATAAAATATTATTATACGGCATATTAAATGGTCTACGCATGCGCTCGCACATGCGTTTCGTTAATAATAACGTACGTAATAACCTGCCCATTATTGCGAATCAAATAAAAGTTATATTTTTTAATCGAGTGCAAAAAATGAGCGCGCGCTATGGGCAATGCGATTTATTGCAAATTCCATAATTCGCATGTTTTCTTTCTATATAATTTACGATTGAGGACGCGATTACGGAGTTTCGAGTAATATTTTCTCGTCGAATTTATCGCAAAGTCAATATATACAACATTCATGAGAGACATGTTTTCGAGCGCGCGCGTGCGCGACGTATTAATGTACGCGAAGCGTTAATACGGGCGTTATGATTAATATCGCGCATATATATATTAGTGCCAAGTCATAAATTATCGCCGTTGGGAACGACGACGCACACACGTGATAAATATTTCACGCGTCCGGCGTTCGGCGTCCGGCTGCCTGCCGCGTCCGTTGCGTCGCCGCGCGGAGCTTCGCGGCGCAATAAAGATTGCAAATTAAATCCTGCGTCGTGTTGCTGGCTGATACGCCCAGGGTTTTCAGCGGCGTTTTGAAAAAACGCAAAACACAACATCCCGATCGCGACCAGTGCTATTTACGTGACGCGTCGCGGCGTAACAAGTCCGCCTACGGGAATAGCAATCTCTCTATTTCGCCGGGCAATACGAACGGCGAAATTAGTTTGCACACACATTACCTTTGTCTTCCCTCTTTTTGAGTGAGACAAGAATGGAAGGACGACGCTTTGATGACGAAAATAATCACGTCCAGCTCGATCGAGGACGATATTCGGTGAAACGGTGTCTAAAATGTTTCCAGCGAAACGCACAACGTTCACCCTTTCACGAAATTTAGCGAGATTTCGGTTGGAAATGCGGCGAATCCTGCTGTCGTCAGGTGTTTAAACGGATTCTCGATAATGAATGCGCACGGCGGTGCTCTCACGATTGCATTACTATCTCGTCAAATTGGAAACAAAAATACGCGAATAATTATCTTATTTACTCTCATTTGCGGACGGCAATAATGGGGAGTAGTAAAAAGAGTGGAAATAGTGGCACCTAGATTGTTATATAACAGAATTGAATTGGAAAATCGGTCGCGGCATGCCAAAACGCGTTAATTGCTTTCCATTGAGTGCATTTTAATTGGAAGCTCGGAGTCGACTGCAAATCCCAATCGAAAACGAGTGGATCAAAGAGTGGTTGCTACGATTAGTATAAGTTTCTCCATAGTACATCCACTCGATTGCTTTAGTATGATAATAGTAGTAATAGTACTCTAGTCTTTCACGCGATAATGTAACGTAATTTGCGTGAAAGCAAAACGTTATCTTTTTCAATGTTTTTTTATAAATTCAAAATATAATAAAAAATTGATTGACAAATAAATAATATCAGCTAAATAATTTTTGTTTCATTTGTCATAAGCAAGATAAATTCTAACATTTTTCCGCAGTTATCTCAGCCTATTCCGATATTCGCTAATTTTCAAGTTCCCTGATTTTATTTTTACTTTCCATGCCCACAGAAACACTGTTTTAGCATATATAATAATTTAAAAGATAAGAAAGTTCTTCAAAGTTTTACGAATTATAATATAAAACCAGTGCAAAATTTAAAATTACAACGAATCCATCAAGTTAATATTTTAAAGATAGAAAGAAAGGAAACATGCCCTAAAAAATTAAAGCATAGTCAAGTCAGGTGTTTATCCCTAGTCAATCTTTAGATGAGTATCTCTAGTCAATAGAGATACTCGTTGCAAAGGAAATAAATATTCAGATATAAAAATGAATATTCAAAAAATGAATATTCAAAAATGTATAAAACTCTCTGCAGACGAAAAGACAGTGTTTTATAACCAAGCACTTGTGCGTCTAAAGCCTGTGCTATATCACGCGTTCTCCCGTGCAGGTTTTCCATTTGGACGAAAATCTCGGCGATGACTACGAGGAGGAGTCCAGCAGCGCTGGCTACCACACGGACGAGAGTTGTAGCCCGACTCCGGAGCCGGTTGTAACGGGTAGTAACTGCGAGGTACTCAGCGTGGAGGAAAATTGCTCGGATTTAACCTCGACGAGTATCACAGTGGAACAGCTCGCCGAGAGGTACGGCGCACTCTACGCCCAGGCCAACTTGCATACCCTGGATGCCCTGGACGCCCTGGAGTCCCTCAAGGACGCTCCTGATTTAAAAGCGAAGATTCTCTACTCGGTGGTGGTGGTGAGTCTCATTTTAAGTCGAGTAATTGTAAATGGAACCAAAAGGTGCTTCTCTTTTCGCTAAAAACTGCGATATTACTTGTCAACTGAATAACTACTTTTTAATCGTACTTGAAATCTCATGGTCCTATTTCTTTTGAATAATATTCTAACTTTAATATTAACAAAAAATAAAATATATCAATATAAATCAAATATTTAATCAAAAATGTTTTAAGTAAAAGATAAATTTAAATTATATGATAAATTAATCAGCGATGTTCGACATATAGTATTATATACATAAATCGCAAAATGAGAAGTCATACTAGACCAGCGGAAATCCTACTTTTTCTCGTCGATCAATTTAACGTGACTTTCGTCATATGAAAGTGGCCGACAAAAGGCGCAACGATGCGGCCGCGAATTATTATATGAATAGCACTCAATCATCCGCAGAAACGTGTACGAATTAGCCACGTGCAGGCACGAAATTGTACGTATATTCACCGGTTGCACAATACGTCACTGTCCCGTTTCGCGCCTGTATTAATAAAATACGAATAAAAAGTTTTCCAGTAAATATACTTAATATTGTAGTCTAGTTTAGGCTAATACAGATGGCCCTCGAATAACAACGGTATTTGAATTGCACGGAGTCTCGAATAGCATGGTAAAAAATTGACAACTCTTGAATAACACGGTCCTTGAGTTACACAAAGTTGGAATAACACGTTCACTCAATAAAAAAAATATACCCACATACGTAGATGCGGGGATAGAGCTTTGTTGTTTTTTAAAAGTTTTTTTAAATAATTTCTTGGAACTGCCCTATTGCGTATGTATCTGGAATCTTGAATTGCGTAATTTTCAATAACACAGGACCAATTAATCGACGACTACCTGTATCTGTTTGATTTCGTTAATACACGATCATATGAATAATTAATTAATTAATTAATTAAATTTGTAGGAATCACGCTACGTAAAAGAAATTTGCTTATTTTGATTGCAATCTAATTAACATTTTGGCAAACACGTGTTTACGCTAATAAAAATGCGATTGATACTATACGAGATAGTAATAACAATCATAACATACCTAAGTTTTCAATAGGCCTGTTCGTTTTAGCTGAACTTCTTGCACGGTTCATCTTTTCTCTTTTTCTCTCCAACGTGAAAAGAAATGTTAGGTATATTGCAATAAAAATAAGCACATTTTTTTTACGTAGCGTGATTCCTACAAACAACTAATGATTCGTTATATATAATTTTCTATTTTTTTTTAATTACTACAAACATACGATATAGGAAGCCATTTCGATTCTTCTGTTCCTATAAACGTACAATTAATTATTCCAGCATATTGCTTCACACGTAAATCAATAAGCGCCAAAATAAACAAATTTCAATTATTTCGTAATGTAATATAAATAAAAGATCCTTTCGTTTAAATCAATAGATGTAATTTAATTCTCGGAAAAATATTATAAATGTTCACCGTTTATTTTAGAAAAATAAACTATAAAGCTATTTGTTTAATGTACACTGTAAACACATTTGCATCCTCGTATACCAGTTTTATACTGCAATTGCATATTGAAGCCGGAGTGTGTGCGAATCTCGTTTGTATAATAAATGAGAAATAAATTCGAGAGACGATGATACGATAAAAATCCACGAAAGTCATCTAAAAAATGAGCTATTAGTGTAATGCATACATAATTAAGCTGATACATACGTGCACACGAACCTAGATAAGCTTACAAGAATTGTATATACGTTGTCAAGAGCAAACGCAGTTCATGTCAAAGGTTTTAGAACATGCAGCGAGATATTGGATTACACCCCAACTCACAGCGAAATCTGTTACACCGTAATTACATCGAGTGAGAGATTAAGCTATTTAATGTATATCCCGAAAAATGTTTCTCATATGCGTAATATAATTGTTTTATACAAATCTTTTTTAATATATTACACACGCATGCGTCGATGCGTTAATTTTGATAATTTAAAAACTCATCTGTATTAATTGAATTACGCAATCAAGCTGACATGAATATTTTTATTCGAAAGCAGATATTGAAAATTGGATAACATTTTTCAACTTTTTTAATCACACCAGCAGCGTATTGCTCCTTTCAGATTCTGTTACTCCAAATATAAACACGTTTCTAAAAATAAAGTCGCATTAGTATCGCGTGTCAACAAGGATGATCGTACTATGAACTATCGTATAAGCTCGCCAAGCTCATTTTCGCGTGACATTGCATCACGAGTATCACGACATTGACTGTTACTTCGCAAATCGCTATGGAAACTGAATGTCGTGCTGTCGCGACATTGAAAGCTAACGACATCACATCAGCTTGATCATTTATCACTAGTAATATACAATAAGACATAACATATGTCTCTAAAAAATATGTTGGCAAAATTAGGATTTAGACTTTCCCATTACTGCAAATCCAAGTGTATTATTTTTGACTGAAACTCTTTTTACACATTTCTTGTGTGTTAAATTACGTTATTTACCATATTTAATCAGATTAAATTAAAAGTTAATACGTTCAATCGTGTTAAATGACGATTTAAAATGGTAAGGAATGTGTAAGAAAAATTTCAACTAAAATAATACACTTGGATTTACAGTGATGTGCGTATGTAAAAGAGTAGAGTTTGATGCTTTCAATATACCGTACCTGGGATACATCTCAATCAGACGCGACGAAACAGATAAATCGTAAACCTTTCACGCGCGTCCACGATCAATTTCAATGTTCCGCCAGCATCGAAAAAGTCGCGGTTGTGTGTCGTGAGGAAGACAGAGAGTCGACGAAATCTAATGGGAACGCACACACTCGGCCGAGAGTGTTGCGGTATGTCGACAAACACTTGTTCTCCACTTGCACTCTCACGTCAGATAACATGAAAGCCGGGTGCCAACGAGGACACCGAGGCCTGCATGCACTCCGTGTGCAAGCGCGCGCTCCGTGTTTACACGTGCTGTAATCACGCTTTAAAGGCTACTATACCATACCGGATCTACTACCGTGTTTCCTTTTCGTCGAAAATATTCCGCGAGCAATATGTATGTTATCCGCAGTCAATATCTTCCCCCCTGGCAACAACTCAATGGAAAGTTGTCGTTTTCCACAACGTTTAAATATTAAATTTCGATAGATAAGTTTATAATATCAAACTTTTTTTTAATTAAAGTTTGCGCGAAGTCAAGCAGATAATGAGATCCTGCTTATCTACCCCTGAAATTTAATTTACAGAAGCTCCTCTATTTTCAGTTGCTCGCAATTCAGACTGTTGATGCTTCGCTTGCTCTGACGAAGAGAAATCGCTCTCTTTCTCTTTTTCTCTATCAAACTGATCAAGACTAATTACGTGCGAAGGAATAGAAACGTGAAGTGCGTATAAAATATGATTCTGTGCATTTTTTTCGAAAGTAGAGAATACACAAAAAAGAAAAAATTCGTTCAATTTCAGGTCATGACAAGTGCGATTTAAAAGAGTGAGAATACAGGACGCACGATAGAATCAATAGAATAGCGACGCGCAATATTACATCTAAAAATCTATAGATCTTCGGATCTCACACTGTGTAAAGAAGTGATAAATTTCTTTTATCTACTACTTTAAACCGGTATTTACAAAGTAAATTCTTCATTGTAGATGAAGCGTAAAGCGACCCATTTCGCGTCCGCGCCGTGTCGTCTCGTTGATCCAAATAATTTCATTATAGCGGAAAACTCCATTTTATGATCAACGGAGTCTTTGAGCAAAAAATTACCGACCTCTCGTACGACATACTTTTTAAAATTTTAAAAGCGGCTATTACATCGCAAATACGTACAAAATTTAAATTAATTATTCAAAGGGGGGTGTACGCGATTATTAATATTAATTCTTGATGTTTTTTAATTAAACGAATTTTTCTTGCGTTAATAACTGCACTTTATATACAGACTGTATTTTATGATCGCGTAATGAAAGTAATTGCAGTGTAAACGGGAAAAAGTCGGTATGCCTTCGCGAAATATTAATCCGCATAAAAACACAAAACTCTTAATTAGCAGCAAAATGCAAAGTGCGAACGGAGTGTGCTTTAAAATTGCGCGTGTTTTCGGAGGAAATTCCATTATTTAAAACAAAATGGGTGTTTTGCAAAACAGTACGTGCAAACTCCATTTCCAGCGTATTGGCTTTTAATATTTCTTTTTATTTGTAAGTGGAAAGTGAAACGCAATGGGGAGAAAAAAAGGATAGCCGTGAACGAGAGTGCGAGAGATAACTTTTTATACGCGGGAGTTAATCTTAAAATGAATTTCGAGCAGAGGATCGACAGTTTTTGTATATATAAGTATGCTGCAAGATTATTTTTACTACCACCACGCACCTGTCTCCCGCCCGATCGATGGACCATTAACGTCAAAGCCGCCGGGGAGGAAAAGAGCGAAGAGATGATGATCGGGTGGTGCGAAAGAGGGGAGCCGAAGGGGAAGCACACTTTTGCGATAGAGCATACTCGGCAAGCGACGGAGAAAGAGAGAGAGACGCCTAGTCCGTCAGCCTGAGGCTATTAGGTACTTTGCATATTTACACGGATACATACAGGTGCCTTTCACACGGATATCTGAGAAATCGATGAACTAAAATAAATATCCACGAAGAAAGCGACACACACGCGCTAACACGGACTATTCCTCCTCGATACCTCACGCGCGCGCGTTTATGTCACCTTGTAGAATGGACTGCTGTCACTTGGTCGATAACCCGACGATTCGCAAAATACATATTTTCCCCGAGAAGTGTTACCGCGTGTGATTTCGACGACGATGTCAGGAACTGGTGGCCAAGCCACGAATCCAACACGCGTCGTTTTCAAACAAGCAACTGGCAACTAATTCCATTGTGAATATACAGTGGATTTATATCGACGATACGATTTATACTAATTATAAGCCTGAAATAGCTTAATGTATATGTATAAACTTTTTCGCAACTTTTTACCTCTCATGCAAATATCCCCAAGACAGGATAAAGCATTGAAGGACGAACAAAATATTGGCAGCCACTGATCGACATTTCAAAGACCCGAAATCCAGTAAAATGTCCTTTAAAGAAAGCTTCTTCGCCGCTTACTGTCGTATCAAATAAAGTACGAAAGGCAACCACTTTCTTAAATAATGCAGACGAGATATCTAACTTGCTTTTCCGCCGGTATTTCCGTCGCTATCTAGTTTCGCGCACAGATTTTCCGGTAAAATAAGCACGGCGGAGGCACTTCCTCACTACTATTTGCCTCGTGCATTTTTATTTTCTTTTACGAGGAAGCTTTCATCCTCACATGTACCTTGAATGTGTTTGTAGATAGAACGTGGCGACCGTGTGTCAGTGCTGATAAGTCATGATACTTTCTTAAAACAAGATTAGTTACAATATCAGCTGTGTTAATTTGTAGATATCGACTTGAAATTGTCCACGGATAAACATTTAAATCATTTTAAGTTAATACTAATTAATTTATCTATGGTAACTTTTGCTGATATCAATATCAAGAATCTTGAAAGTACAGAACACTTATAATATTAAACTTTGTATGCGCGAGAGTTAATATTAAAATGAATTTCGAATAGGGAATATTCCTCCTATATGTATAAACGATATTTCATATGTATAAGTATTCTACACTATTACAAGATCAAGAGATACAGTCTCGCGCCAAGTATATTTTTCATCAGATATATCTTTTCATAAGCGTTATTTTTCTTATCACCAACGACTCAATTCTACGAGATTAACTTAGAATTGATAAAAATGTGGAGACATAAGAAATAATTTATGAATATAAATAATTTCTTTAACGATAAATTACTTTTTCGATTAAAGACAAATACCGACATGTGTTTGAAAAAAATATTTTTCATGTCGTTTCACATAATAATCATTTTGTAGAAAATTTAAGATCCTATAAATGCTGACGAATTAATGATATAACTGTTAACTATTCAGTTAAATTGTTTTAAGTTTTCTCAACGTTCAATGTATCAATTAATCGAATTCTGCAAAATACAACCAACTGATATTCAAAATATTATTTGCGTTGCTTTCTTGATACAATTGCGAATGTGATAGAGCAAGGTGTATCTATATACAGCTGACAGCCTATCGCCTCGCGGCTAATATGTTGCATAGCGGAAAGATGGCTTTCACACACGAATACGCGAGAAGCATATGCGATAAAATAGATATTGTAAGGCGTTTTTTTTCTAATGAAGACGTTTTTTCGCTCTTTCTTACACACCCACGCCCACTGTACAGAGTGTCCCAGAAATACTACTCCTCTCGACTGTAAATGAGATGAGAGAATTTGTTAGAGAGATAATCGTCTGTTAGAGACTGCAATTCCTCACGTCGCTGCTTACACAAATAACAGCTTCAGCAACCGATTACAATTCAATTTAATGCTGCGGTATGGACTGAAGCCCCACGCTACATTCAGCCGGCCGTCACGCAGAGCAGTCAAAGTCTAACTAAGTTCTAACTCAATCTCGTGGAATTTCGTGTATATATCAGCAGTTCTCTAACTTTCGGCATTCTTGATGTTAATATTTAATATCGACCAAAAGTTATCATAAATCTGTAACTATAACAATAACTTGAATGCTCCTTCATGATAATTGACAATTGATATCATTTTCAAAGTTTTTATAATAATACGTATTTATATAGCTCTCGATTTATATTAAATTGGATAAAATAATTGCGATCCTGAAATATAAATCTTTTTGAAATAAATTACCGATAATATAATATTTCTACATTATCGATTCAAATGTAATGAAATATTAGGGCATGATTTAATCAGGATATTGTTACAAGTTTTCGTTACGTTGTAATTTTAATGTTTTAATCAGAAGAATGTTTGCGTCAAAAGTTTTTAAAGTCGAGGTTTTCAAACTCCTCGTGAATCAACTCGGACAATATCGATTTCTTTTAAGCAGCAGAGAATACTGAGTTATACAAACGAATGGAGAAGTTAGACCGCATTGTGCTCCTAGTAACATACCAATTAAAGTCTAGCTAGTTTCTCTTCAAAAATTCATCTTGTAAGTAAAAAATGCACGAGTTGTAATATAGCAAACGCGAACGTTTGTATGCTTGTAACGGTACCGGATAAACAGTTAGCCGTTTAAAACGAGCCGTTGTTAAAAGCGGTAATTCATCAACAATGCTCGTAAATTATCACTGTAAACCCGATGGCAAAGAGGATTCTTTCGTGTCATGTGATTCTACGGAATGTCGTCGCAATTACGCGATAACCGGAAAAACGTAGAAGAAACACGCTCGCGTGCCATCAAATTAAAGCAACCGGTATTTTTATAACAATAACTTCAACGCTGCTCCGATTTTCACAGATTACGATCGACATATACTGTCAGCAGTAAAATGTGTTAGTAACAATTTTTAATAAAGTACAAAAATTGCTACCAACAATTCGAGCAATTTGAATATAAATATGTTAAAAATTTTGCACATAACATCAATTTTCGGACAAATATATAATACAAATATATCTCGTAAATGCAGAGAAATTAAAAGAAATTGTCATCGTGTTTGAAATTACATTAAATATGTGAACGAGTATGATTATTGCGATTATTTAGCACAAGCAAAGATTAATAACTCAGAATAGAACTCGACTTTTAGTGAATACTTCTCAACATTTTAGGTTTTGCGACACTGTTGCCACATTTTTAAAATATGGTAAAGAATAAAAAGTTGTTATAAATCTTGTGAAAATTATCAAGCATCTAATAAAAGTATAATTATGATTTACTCGATAAGATGTAGAAGATACAGTTTTTAATGATAGCCACAACTTTGCAAAGTAATGTTTATCAAATATAGTTTTCTTAATTCGATGTCATAAGTATCATAAAATTTTTGCACAAAGAAATTATTTAATCGTTTGCACAACGATCTCAACGTGGAACGTATATATTATGTGTCGACGTTAATCATGAATCAGCGGACGTGTTCTAAAACCTGCTGCAACTCTAATCTCTATAATACCTAACATCCGTTCATGATAATCGTGCTGCATATTGAAAGGGTCGCACACAAAACGTGCCCAACTCCTTCCGCATTCTGTTCTATTCATCTTAAATATCTTAATAAACCACAGAAGAGATTTGCAGTGTCTCGTCGAGAAGACGTGCGTAATTTGCACGCGCAATTATCTAGCGACATGCATATTTTAGAACAGAATTAAAGGGCTTACCAATTGCGGCGTCCGTTAACCGGCATGTCTTGACCTTTGCAGCTCTCGTGGCGTCTAGCCGGCATGGTCCAGACGTCGAGGCGCCTGGAAGCCTTGAAAATCCTGAACGGCGCGACCGCGGCCCAGACGGCGGCGGCGACTCCAGAGCTCGATGAATGCATAAAGCGACAGCTGGCCACTTCCGGGGCGCAAACCGGTTCCCGCGAGGTCGCCGAGCAGGTGGTCAACCAGTTGGAGAGGACACTGTACGACTTTCCGTGTCTGCGTGGCTGCGCCGAGGTCAAGAATTACGCCACCGCGTGCTCCACTTTGGCCTGGGCGTGCCTGGCACGTTCCACGCCGTTGGTGCTCGATGCGGCGCAAAGTCTGGAGTTTCGCCGAGAGATACACGTGAGGCATCACGCCTCGCCGAATCCGCACGGGACCAGGATCAGGTCGGTCCTGTGGCCGGGACTTCGGGAAGGTTGTCAAGGTCCCTGCCTTCACAGAGCCGTTGTCCTAACTTGTTAAAGTACTGCGACTTTTCTATAAAAAAAAAAAGAAAAGAAATTCATGCAGAATTGTCTTTCAAAAACATATTCATGATACGAAAACATTTTTCACATACATAAAATTTTTTAAGTGCAAGTAGTCTCCACACTGTAGAAATCAGCCCCAGGTAAATGAAACTGTACAATAATTTTCTAATGATTTAATTAAATATAAATTAATAATAAAATAATATACTCATATATTTAATAATCGCAGAACAATTTATCTCCGTTTCAAATATCTATTTTAATATATTTTGAAGAAAAGTGTCAATAAAACTTATGCAGATTTACATAACACATTTACATAACACATAATTATAGCATGACACAAATAATTCAAATTTGTGCAATTATCAATTTACAATTTACAGACGTATATAACCGTCTCTCTGTAGTGTTTTCAGAAGTGCAATTTGACAACGAAAAGAGAGAGATGTACGTAGGTCGAACTCGCTAATTGAATGTACGGTGAAAGGCAGAGACAATAACGCGTGGGATGCTGCACCGCAGCATGCTCCAATTTCATTCGCGCTTATGATATGCATTCTACACCGTTGACACTTGACGCCGCAACCGGACCTTAAATTTCAGAAACGTATCTCGGGCGTGCTGCTCGCGGTTCCGCTAACCGCGGAATCAAGAATTCAGAGTAGTATGATATGGTATGTTGCGGTACATCAGTCCACCATTTTTATTTACACAAGTCTTATCTATATCACATTGTCGTAAAGAAGAAAAATGAAGATTGACGTTGAACGTATCAATCGATACGTTTGATCCAAAAAAAGATGACGAATAAAAAACAATTACGTAATATACCATATCATAAAATAAATGAATAAGAAATATTCATAAAAATATAAAAAAATGTGCATATGTTTGTCATATTTAATAAAAGATTAACTCAAAAATGAATTATTTATTATTTTCTCGTGAATGATATTATGTATCTTCATATTATAAAACACTTACGTTTCTCCGATAAATGCGGTACCTGTAAAAGACTTTTTTTTCGATTTAACAACTGGCGTTTTAAGAAAAGAAATTCTTTAATTTGACTAATTATTTCTCGAAACTTGAATAGATTGCACAGATATACCTATTTGTTATAATCAAAATACGATTATAGAATGTAAGAATATAATAACGATAGGAAATAAATGGACCATTAAATATTGTATAACGCTAAGAAATATTAATATATATTTTTTATTTATATCTAACAAGCTAAGGGACTTTTTAATGCTCAAATGTATGAAATTTATATTAAATTATACTATTATATTTCGATATAATATCGTCGACTATATTACTCTAACAATAGTCGACATAATATCTTAATAATCAATAAGCTCTATTTTATAATTATAACAAAGCTTATACTGTGTATTATTTTGGTCGCTACAAGTTTATATTAAAATCATGTACATTAACAATAAAAATGTTAATAAAAATGTTTAGCGAAACGTTTATCACGACGTTTATTAAAATATCCAATCAGGACAGAGAGAAAAGGGCGATATTAATTACGAAGACTGATCAAGGCAGAAATTCTAACGAGTCAAATTTAAGCATAATTGGCGCAATTTCGTCTAAAGAGGAAGTCTTAATATACATACACCACCGAAATATACCATATGACTGAGACGATGAGACTGAGAATTATGTGCTTTAAGAATTTAACTGTTCCAATTTCGTTCGACATTAATATATCTATATCGTCAAACAATTTTTACGTTCTTATCGATAAAATTAACATGTAAATATATTATATAGTAAATTATAATTTTTAATTCAATGTGTCTTCACATTATAATTATTATCAATGATATAAAATAACATTTCTAATATATAATTTCAGATGTTAACTCAACACATCCATTACATTCTTTTAAAAAATAAAACAATTTTTTTCACAAAACAATAATCTCATATATCTAATAAATAACCATGTTATATGTCCAATTAGGCGATTTTAAAATAAGAATGACGATTAAGATTTGAAGCGAATAAACGTCATTTAAATATGTGAATTATAAAACGTGATTAACAATTTGCAACGCCTCTGAATTAATGATATCAATTTAACTAGGACATCCGTCCGACGAAAAGTACATCTTTTCTCGGAGTTGTTGATTTAACGTATTTTTGGAATGTGATTGAAGAAGAAAAACTAAAGAACTAAAAGAAAAAGATACGAGATTGTTTCTTTACCCGTTTAAATCTCTCGAGACTCTATACTACTCTCTTGCGTTTTTATTGCGAAAACAGGTGCCTTCGATATGTTTTCGTCGGCAACATCGGCAAAAGTTTTCTGCGTATCCGTCCTACATTTTTTAATAGCGTTTATAAGAAATACACTGCAAAGATATAAAAACATACTGGAAACATATACAATCGAAGTTAATAATGTAAATTCAGCAGTATAGTAAACATAACATGATTATCTGACATATTATTAAGTAAGAATACACGATAATCTCGTATTTAAAATCCAAGATTTATTCTTGTTAACGCAGAGATAAAGATTTGTGGAGTTGCTCGGTGAAATAATCAATGAACAAGCTTGTAGTTTCGAGAGTTTATTATAAATCTCATCCTATGTACACTCTTAGGTATGTCTCTAACGTTTCTACTGATCGAAGTATAAAAGTATGTCCTAACGATTATTCGTTTAGCCCTGAATAATTATTGATTTAAATTACATTTTTTGTATTAATAAGAAAATTAGCCAATATTGTAATATATAAACCACTTTTCTCGAAATGGTATAATGTACAATTTTAAAAATTAATAACTATCCTCGACAGACCTAAACGAATAGATCGACTGACACTGGAAATCGCTTTGGTCGAATTATTTGATCGTCTCTAATCCTCATTTATTATATGATGGAAGGTCGAAGTAATATTTCTAGCTCAATACATATATATGCTTTGTATATATCCCAACAAAGATTTAATATAAAGGCAACGTAATATCATCCTTAATGGATAACATCAGAATATATTTAAATCTATGGCAAATGAAAGGTCTTGAATGCAAGAGTTTGACAAATAAGATTGTATGCAAAATAAAATTTTTTTTCAAAGATATACATTTTCTCTTTGTCATTTCTTGTTTTGCTCTTGAGATACACTGTATAATAACGTACAATTTCGCATTTATATCTTATATCTTCGATTTTTACAGTTGTCGACTTTTAGATGTTAATATTTTTCGATAAATATTCCGAATAAGTTGCATGAATAATTATCACGTTCTTATTAAAAACATATAGAAATAATTTGTATCGATAAAAAATTATATACTTAATATTATATAATATGTAATTATTGAATCTTCTTTTATATGTGTTATGGATTGTTTATAATAATCAACAATATTTCATTACATAGAGTAGGTCATAAAACGCTGCTATTATAAATGCAATAGTAACGTTGCAACTTATCTGGTAGTAACAATTTGCTAGAAAATATATATATATAATTTCGTATTATAATTAACTTGCAAAAATTTGTTCGTGATAACTCAATTTGTGGTGGACATAATATATTTTTAATCACCTTGTCAAATTCAACGAATTACAAATTAGAAATATAAATATTATATTTCGTTATTAAGAATTAAACACGGAGAGATATCTTTCTAATATTACATATGAGTATTACATCGTATGAATAAGCGTCGGATATGAAATATGAATTTTCTAACGATAATATCGATGAGATAACATATGCATAAAACAATATTCAAGAAATTATTCCCAAATAAGCATTCTGTTAGATTAATATGACGCTACGTTACGGAATCTTTTTTATTTATAGGAGTAAAAGCTATTTATCATGATCTATCTAAAACATTAAAGATAATTATAAATCATAAATCATAGGTCGGAAACATATACTAAAATTAAACACATTACATTTCTGTACATGTGGGTTTTATCATATTCTATATTATACCGCATTAAATGTTGGTACATTTCATAGAATCAAGTCTTTATTTGTAAAATAGTCATGTCAAAAGTTAATAAAATTGTACTCTTCACTATATAATTTATTCTTTCCTTTCTAAATAACTTTATCCCAAAATTGATATAGAAAAATTATGCACTACAACAATTTTAGCAATTTACACGGTGGAAATAGCATTGAATTCTTCTAATTTAATTGTTGAAAATGTAGCTATATTATATTTTAAAATTTCGAAAAAACTTTCCGAAAGTTAGAGAAGAAATACAACCCCTGTTCAAGAAAATTTTAAAAACAATAAAATGAGGATACAGTTATTTTTAATTAATTAATTAGAAAAGAAACTATTTACTAGCAAAAGGTAAAATCAATGCTTCTAGTTGTGTATTTTTTGGTACTTTTCTCGAAAATATAAAAATTTTCCTTTTTTTCTGTATAATGACACATTGACTGTCCATGATAGTTTACATGATAACACACCATTTTTTTGTACTCTCAGTTGGTTCAGCCGTCATTTTATTGTCATCATTCTTTATCCCGCTAATGTCTAACTTGGTAGAGTCGAAATTATAAGGTGTGGCTTTCGGCGTGGACACCTGCATGCTAGGTATGCGCAAACCTTTCAACAGATTTATAGATGTACTTAGTAAACTACCCTCTCCATCCGTTTTCTGCTTTTTTACCGAGCTCCAATTTTCTGTTTCAATTTTACGTTTTCTGTCCAATGGGCTACCATTCGTAGAGAAACTGTCGGATAGTAAACCGCTACCATAATGTAAGACTTTAGCTTCTGTTCCTTCATCCTGCGGCATAGACATAGTCGATGTATTCACGAAAAGAGAACTATTCGGTGATATCCTTCTCTCACGGAAAGTAACGTGACGCAGTCTACCGATGGAATGTCTTCCCGAGATGTTTCTCAGCGTCTTTCCAAATGACAGGTCTCTTAAATGTTGACTCGGCATGCCTTCCGAATTGCTTACGTCATAGAGCTTCGAATTATCTTTCAGACAATCGTTGAGTCTGATTTGTACATCTTTTAGCATTATAGATGAATCGTAAGAAATGAATGATGCATCATTTGCAGCGTCATCGATCTTTTCTTTATCATTCTGAGTGTCGCTCTGTGTAACGGATTCCGACATTTCGGATACTTCCGACGTTGTGGATTCAACAATGTCGACTGAGTAGCTCTCATTATTGGTTTGAGCTTCGCTTCGCATCTCTTCTTTTTCATTTATACCGTTCTTCATCTCCTCCTGTACCGGAGGCAATTCTTCTCCCTTATCATTGTCCTTTGGTTTGTCGTCTAATTTTTCTTCTCCATTGTTTACCAAACTTTGATCAATTTCATATGTTAATTTAATATCATTCGCATCTTGCTCTTCCACTTCTTTGGTTTCAGCATTAACATTTTCTAATAAGACTTCCTCTTTTTCTTGTTTTTCTTGGGAAACAGTTTTGCTCTCCACAAATATTACTTCCTGGTTAGTTTTCGTAGAAGTTTGAAGTTCGCTTGACATCTGTTCGGAGGAATGATCAATATATTCTTTGCTCACAGTAGATTTCTCAGCTTCAATAGTTTTGTTGTTACTGTTCTCTTCTGTAACATTTTCTTTGTGAATTGAAACATTCAACTTGACTTCAGCTTCTTCCGATCCCGGCTGCATCTCCGCACTTTTGGTTTCTGGATTTTTCATTAGTACTTTTAATTGCTTTATTGCTTGATGTTCAACTTTTGCTGGAGGACGAAGTTTGCTCTATAACATACATTATTTCCACATTGCAAAAACCCAAGAGGCAATGCAAAAAGAACTTAACAAATAATTGAAAGTCATAGACTTATCATTAGCATGAGCTATTTGTGCGTTTCAATAAATTTACAATTATTTTGTGAATTATATTTAATTAATATTCTTATTTATGCATAATATTTATGCATATTTTTCTACAATTTTAATTTTATTAAATCTAAAAATATATGTAAATATATATGTATATAAGCGAAAATTTTTCTCATAAAATTAGCAAGTAAGAATCAAATTGTTACTAAATATCAGTAAATAAATTAATACAGATAAAATATTTTTATGTTACATAAAATTAGATTTTTCAATTAACTTTCTTACTGTCTCTTCCTTTCTTTCCATTTCTTTCTCTATATATAAATTATAAAATGTAAGGAGGCACAGATATATAAAATTGTTAATAGCTGATAACATACAACATTTATGAAATATTTGATTTAGCTAAGAAAATAAAAAAACCGACCTGTAAACATATTACACACAAGCAATATCAAACCATTATAATACATAAAATAGTATCGTTATAAATTCGAACTGTGTGATAAGCCCATACCTAATCTTTTATGGGTCGATATCACAGTCTCCGATTAACGTGATCATCTGATTAAACTCACTCTTCGTCTCTTTCTAGGGGGACAGTTAGAAAGAGATGCAGAGTGAGTTTAATCGGAGGATCACGTTAATTGGAGACTGTGATATCAGCCCTAAAAGATAACATTATCTTAATAGTAAATTTAATAAAGGTTCTTAGTAGAGTATCAGTGTTGTTTTAAGAAATTAATACTTAATATTGTCCAAACAGATAAAGCACAACACATTAAATACATAAAACGTAATAAATTTCAATCATTGAATATGTTAATCATGAATATGTTATAACATAATCTCTAAATAATTATTTAATATTTTTATATTACAATCAAAATAATCATATTATATACATGTATTGTTTCAGATAACAATTTTGAAATATATCATAATAAAATAAGAAATTAAGAGAAATTAAAAGTCTATACCTTAAAATTCTTTCCTGGTCCAGACGGTATTTTTTTCTGTATTCCAGTCAGTTTTGGCCTAAAACAAAAATAAGATATTCACAATCAATGAAGAGATAAGCCATATTGCAAATGGCCTTTGAGCAAGAAATTCTGGAGGTGATGAGAGGAACAAATTCAAAAGTAAAGAAGATAAACCAAAGTTTCTCATGTCTAAAAATGAAAATATCTTTTTGTTTCTTACATGCATCGTCATAATATTCTCTTTGTAAAATAAGAAACCTGAAAAACACATTGGTGTCTTGTTCATCAATCTATTTAATCTCAAAATGTCTTAAAATGACTCGACTCGACTCTCACTTTAAAGTTGATATCTGGATTACCAGCCAAATTAATTCTTCATTTCAAAATTCTGTGACACTTACATGATACGATTACAGATTATCGCAGAGATATATTTAAGAAACGCTACGAGATGTGATCTCGATAGCCCCCAGTCTCCCAATTCATTAGCAAACAGTTACAGAACACAAAGCTCCGACACCCTGTAAACTACAGCGGCAAGCAACCAACAAGTTCCAGGCGTTGCATCGAAATGCCAACGTGCGCAAACAGTTTACAACTAAATCCAAGGCCAACTCCACTCCAGGATGGCCCAGGGAGAGTTGACCGGAGGGCAAGACTCGAGAGAGAAACAAGCGTACGTACATCCCGCGCGGACTGAGAAACTCTGGCGGAACTTGCGATTCGCTGTTTTTGCTGATTGTTTCTACAAACCTGTTCGAAATCTCGGACTCGCGCTGTCTCTCGGGCAAGCTAGATTCAGAAGCTCTCGACGGCGCGGTCGTTGCCTTGAGCCTCCGAACGTACAAATTCCTCTCATCGCCCCCAGGGGCCGCCTTCTTTGGCGTCTTACCCATGGCCACGACTGCGATTAGCGGCGTGCCTATTAGTTGTGCCCGATTAATCTCCACACGCCCTTTTTTTTCTTTTCTTTCTGTCTTTGCCGATCCTTACTTGCGTGCAAACGCAACAAGCCCGCGTGAGGTCCCCCACTTACAGCGTATACGGCAAATTAAGATCTTGCTTCTACTATTACTCCACTCGCACTCTCTCACACACGCATACACACGCTCTCTCTCTCTCTCTCTCCCTCCCTCTCGCTCGATCTCTCTCTCTCTCTCTTTCTTCCGCTAGCTCTCGCCGCCTCTCGCCTCCTCCTCCGCTCAAATATTAATAATCGCCCTTTCTTACGCTCGTCGCGGCCGATTACTCGCGACGTGGACCTCGCCGTACGAATGCGGGCGCCGGTATCTCGTGCACGAGAGCCGGGAGAGCGGGACGAACGGCTCCGTCGAGTTCAAGCGCACGTACGTACTACGCAGGACGCCATACAACATACAACCGCCGACCGATTGCACGACGACGCACAACGAGAGGGCACGATGGATGCGAGCACGTGCGCAGGCGCGGATGCGCGTCAGCGGCCGGCCGCTCTCTCATAGACGCTTTAAAAAAAAATTCGCACGAGACGACCGGGATCGCGTCTCTCGACGATGGTTTTAGGCGACCCGCGGAGTTTCGGAGTATGTCGGGTTACGGGCGACGACTCGATCGAGGGAATCGTGCACGGAACGGAATTGACTCGAACTGACCGTGAACCCGTGTGAACGTGAACTAGGAGCGACCGACCGCGCGTGTGTGCGGCGCATACATGTGTACATACATACACGACCGGCAAGCCCTCATCGTTTCCTCGTGTGCGTCCGGCGAAATCACACAATGACACAATCCCGGGTGCAAACGCGGCGGCCATGGAGCGGCGATGGCGGCATTTGCGGTGGCGTTGTCGTCGCTTTCGCGCGCTCGCGTACGAATTGAAGCTAGGGATGTATGGAGGAGCGTAAAATATCGATATTTCGGCGTATTTGATCGAAATATGGTATTTCGATATATTGATTGAAATATGTATATCGATACTGGAGAATATCGTTAATTTTTGAATTTTTTAGACAAGTTTTTAATATGTATATATTACTTTGAATGCTTGTTGAATAATGATAAAATTCTCAATTCTATGTATCATCTGGATTTGATTTGTCTGGTACCTGCAGACTCTTAATCAATAAAAAGGTCTTAATGCCTGCAACGTAGACATCAAAACATAATCGATGCACGGAAAATCAGAATGTATAGCCGCGAGATACGTTCGGACGATGAAACACACGTCTGAAATCTGTTATAAGACCAACGGTCTCGCGAAAAACTCACTTCGAGAGGCTTGCGCGACCGACGTCTTTTCGGCGAATACAGACGGCGAAGAACCGTAAAGATTGAGTTTCTACATTAATTTCGCACGCGAATCGAAACGTAACGTAACGTTACCATCCGTCCGTTTATCCGTCGCTATTTAGATATTAAAAGATATCAATATACGTACCTCACGACGACGGTGCATCCTTGCTCCTGGAGTGATGGAGAGATGGAGATAACTTTTGGATCGTTCACTGTCGATGCCGAAATCGCGATAACGCGATTATACACGCGACGTACGCGATCAGTTTCACGTGAGATTCACTTCCGCGAACGGTAAGTCGCAGGAGCCATCAGTGCGATTCGAACGCGATACCTACGTGTTAGCACTGTGAGCGCGTTTTCGCAACCGACCGCCATATTGAAACTATCGAACGGGCAAAGTGGCGATCCTCGAATAAGAAAAATCGATTGAATCGAAACGGCCGGGCGGCGAAGCCGCAAGCCGCAATAATTTTACGCATATAATGTAGAATTAAGATCCGACGTGTATCCAAAATAATAGAATAGTCGTTATAAATGCGACCAATTATAGAATATATATGCACGTATGTACATACCTATACATATGTGTGATTATTCTCGGGCAATCGCCAGAATCGCGATATAACGGCGCTTCAATTAGTCAAGACGAAAAGTTACTTCGCGAGACACTCCCGACGTTTTCTCGCGCGCGAGATTCACTTTCGATTCCCGTGAAACTCTTCTTCTCAGCTTCTCTTTCTTTCCCCGTGAAATGGTACTCGATCCTGGAGTTTCCGGATTCGCCAAACGATTTCAACGATTTGAACGCGAGCCGAGATATGACGCGTTCTGCCACCGACGAGCTACTGATCGAAGACGGTCAACTCGGCGTGAATTTTCGCGACCACCGGCCACGACGATAATCGACATTAAGTATCGATTGTCGAGTGTCGCGTTGGGCGCGAATCGAATCGCTCGGCGACGCTCGGATCTCGGGGGGTCGGGGTCGGGGTCGGAGACGACGTTGGTTAGCTCGGCGAGCGCGTGAATCGTGAATGGCCTTTATTCTGGTGGTGCTGTCCGTTTCTACTTCGGCCGTGCGCGCTGTGACTCTTCCACCCACGTGTTTGTAGTCGAAACGAACGATCGGGAGTCAGCAGTCAACATGAGCGCGATTTCGTGGCTGTTTCTACTCGCCGGCGTCCTGGAGTCCCTCGCTACGGAATGGAACACGCAGGACTACATGAAGCGAGAACACTCTCTGATCAGGCCGTATCAAGGTGCGCCGATTTCGTTTCCTTCCCTTATCGCGCCTCCCGAGATCTCGCGAAAGTCCCGTCGCGTCGGGACCCTCCAGGATTTTCTTGTTCATTTATTATCTAATCCGTAATTTCCGAGCCAGCTCGCCAGGAGTTTGAGGTTACGAGGCGACTAATTAATGCGGAGAATTTATTACTTTTCACAGATAACGACGTTAATGACGAAGACACCTACGTCTTTCGCAGCTGTTTCAACATTCGCGAGATCAGTAAATATACGTGGAACAAAGAGTCGATTTTTTTTCTCAAAAGAAACGCGTGAACTCAATTTTTTTAAATTATGGATCCTCTCTGGGAATCCTGTTGCGCGCCAGCGCGCGCGGGAGGATTTGCTGGTTCATTTATTATCTAATCGCGATCCGCGAACCAGTCCACCAGAAGTTTGAGGTTATGAGGCGACTAATTAATGCGGAGAATTTATTACTTTCTAAAGATAGCAGCGTTAATAAAAAAAAATACCTACATTTTTTTTCTTAAAAAAAAATGCGTGAAGTCTAATCTTTTAATTTATATATTCCCTCTGGGAATCCTGTCGCGCACCAGGATTTGCTAATTCATTTATCATCTAATCGCAATCCGTGAGTCAGTCCACTATAGGTTTGACCACGGTCTTAGTTTGACGTTACGAGGTGACTAACTAAGGCTAATTAATGCAGAGAATTAATTTTTCATAGATTGTAGCGTTAATGAAAAAAGAGATAAGTACCTACATGTTTCATAGCTGTGTCGCAAGATTAAATATGTATAGATCAAAGAGTCACTTTTTAAAAGAACGCGATTTCTATTTTTTTTTCCAAATCACAGACCCCTTAAAGATTGATAAATTGATAATTTAAAGAATTTTTTGTGATATGATATTAAAAATATTCAAAGAGAGAGATTAGTGATGTATATAGCATGATATCGGCGAAAGTTTTAACATGCAATGAGTTTCTAATATATTTTTATCTTGTATATATTAAGTAGACTGTAAATTAATTATTTATGATAATGGCTATTAAATATTTATCAAATCTATCATCATCTTTTATACATTCGCGTTATAATAAACATGTTATTTTATTCCTGAATTTATATTTGATGTGTATTTATCATTCTTTTCATATATTTATAATTCGTACTGTTCTATATATTTACGATGTAAATGCTTTAGTTTATTTATAAAGATATGTTTATTATAATAGGCACAAGTATGACGATACCTTACTGGGACTTCATGGGAAGCACAATGGTAACCAATAATTATATCAGGTTAACACCTGATTTACAAAGTAAACAAGGTGCCTTATGGAATTCTGTGGTAAGTATTCTACTTATATTTGTACATGTTTTCGACATATAACTTTTTAATGTGAAAACTATATAATATATATGTATTGTCTACTAATTAAGATTTTTAAACTTGTGTTTATAGCCGTGCCATATACGAAATTGGGAACTGCAAATTCAATTCAAAGTACATGGAAAGGGAAAGGAATTATTTGGAGATGGTTTTGTCATTTGGTATGCCAAGGAAAGAATGAAGTCAGGTCCGGTATTTGGGAGTCAGGACTATTTCCAAGGATTAGCAGTGATACTTGACACATACAGCAATCATAATGGCCAACATAATGTACGTTAATAATGCATTCTTATAAAATCTGACTATAGTTTGAGTAGTCGATTAAGGTTACGTAACTTTGATTGTTTTCAATCATCCAAAACTTAAGATTCTCATATTTATGTCTTTATTTTTCCGTATCTTCTTTTGATACTTGAATATTATTATTTGTGACAGCATCAGCATCCTTACATCTCAGCAATGGTCAACAATGGATCTCTGCATTACGATCACGATCGTGACGGCACTCATACGCAACTCGCAGGTTGTGAAGCAAAGTTCAGGAACTTAGAACATGATACACACTTAGCTATAAGATACGAAAGAGATGTCCTAACTGGTACGTAAAGATAATTAAACATTTAAACACATTGTGTCTTTTATACTATAGCGTGTGTCATAATATATCGTTTGTTAAATTCTATCTTTTCTTACACTTCTTATTCATCATTTGTACTTTGTCCTGGCACGTTACGTGAATTGTATTTTTTCTGCTTTTTTGTGCCAGCTTCATAATTGTCTCTTTCTTGAATTGCAAATGTATGTATACACGCATACATATATGTACTTATTTACCAACCAGAATTACACGCATATACTCACACATAACTCTATGTTTCTTATAACGTTTTTTTTTTCTTATTGTAATGAAGTTTCCACGGATCTCTCCAACAAAGCAGCATGGAAGCAATGCTTTCAAGTGAATCAAGTCAAGCTTCCAACAGGATATTACATTGGAATTTCTGCTACCACGGGTGATCTGTCTGACAATCATGATATATTGTCAATTCGTTTGTTTGAATTAGACTTACCAGATGATGTAAGTAAAAACTAAATTTATTCTTTTTCTATGCTTCTATTATATTAAATATTTGATATTATACATGTAAAGCACATATCTCGTTAGCAAATAAAGATGTGAACTATTTCATTAGAGTAATAAACAAATTAGCGATACTTAAAAATATATGTCAATTTACAGCCTAAGGATCAAGAAGACAGATCACAAATTGTGCCATCAGCAGCATTCTATGACGCACCAAGAGGTATGCAGATAAAAATAAATTGTTATTGTACATGTGTATAAATTTAGTATTCTAATAGAAATCTCTTGTTTCAGAACGCATAGAAGATCCGAAGCAATCGAGTATGAGTGGAATAAAACTTTTCCTACTGATGTTAGTTGGTGCGCTCTTTTTAATAGCTTGTGTTGTCATGGCCATTATGTTTTACCAAAAGCATCAAGAAAATAGTAGAAAACGATTTTACTAAGTCAGATTTCAGGTAGTGTATGTGTGTGTCTTGAGCGTCGCAGCTTACCGATTTCTCTTCTATTCAAGATTTTTTGTATACAAAGAGTAAATTACGAAATGCTCATAAGACTGTCTTTATTTGGGGTTTCTATTAAAAAATTAGTAGATATAAATCTTTTTTTTGTCTATAAGAATAAAAGTCTTCAAGGTAAAGGAGAGACGTGTATGTGTGTGTGTGTGTGTGAATAGAAGTATTCTAATTCCAATTTGCAGAATGTTGCCCCATTGGATTAATTGTCGATGTCATTGATTGGACTCAATGTACATTTATTTGATTTTATTATAGTCAGTAAAAATACGTATTTATTTACAGTTCCTTTACCAAAGTTATTACTTTTTGAAATGCCAGGTGGAATTTAACGAAATAAGTTTTTATATATTTGACTTATAAAAAATATGTAGAATGGAGAGATATATCATAATGAATGTATGACATGTACATTATTAATTGTATTTTAGAAAGGTCTTGGAAAAATTCGTATATTATATGTATTAATTTCAAGCCAAATGTTCATATGCACGAGATCTTTATGCTAATATATACTTTTTCCAGAACCTTTTTGTCTGTATAGGTTGGAACTAATTAATTCTAAACTCCAGTGATTTTAAATACTTAAGGAAATAATACATCACAGATAAAAGAGATATTTGTTTAAGGAGATAAATTATAGAAATCCAGTTTAATTTCTATTTATGCAATTTTTTTGCGTAATCATTTCATATGCAGATTAAATACAGAAAAGACTTTATTAACATAGATTTTATATTTGTACATAAAGGAAATTAATGTACTCAAAGCTCCCATATTGCATACAGTTTGTGATAAATATTACTTGCAGATTATATAAATGCAATTATCTAAACAGGCAACTGGCCATAAGAATTATGCAGTGTTAGAATAATGTCTAACATTGCATGAAAGTATATGCAATGTGGGGGGATTCTACTGTATTTCAATATAAAATAACTACATACATAGTAAAACTCTGTATTGTAATCCTTTTATATGGAAACTAAGAAAAAGGGAACCAAACCGTTTAATAAACAATTGTCTTGT